ATCAGCCGCCTATCAGCCATATGTGATATCAAGCTGCTTGTTCACTTTGAAACCATTTTCAGGATTTGCTGTTACCTTTATTTAAACACCATGTACGAACTGTCAGACATATTCATATACATTGTATTCCCTTAAACACGGTGTGGCCTAATGATTTAGCCGCTCAAGATACCCATACGATACCCAGCTAACACACAACGTTTTTGCAACGTTATGGGAAGATCGTTATTGTATATTGTTAACGTCATAACACAACGTTGTCACAACGTTAGTATTGCATCATGTTATAACGTTACGTCACAACGTAGTAACAACGTTGCACATTTTTCTTTGAGGAAACGTTATGCTTTGGGCTCCTCACAGCGTTATAGCAACGTTTATTATAACTTGATGTCAAGAGAGTTCTCTGTGAAACATTTCTCTTTGATATTCTTTCTTCACTATTCAGCTAGTGAACACACGGCCAAAACAACATGCAAATTGACGAATAAATATTGAAGTAAATTTCTGCTTTGATTCTATGTACTGTGCAATCCTGGGAAAACTATTCAACTATTAACGTTAAATGAAACGTTAAGACAACGTAAAATACGTTAGCATCAAATAAATTTAATCTTGTGGCGACGTAAAATGACGTATCACAACGTCAGGCCACAACAATGTCACAGCGTAAATTTGAGTCGACAGAATAACGTAGCAATACACACACACCCAAAAATAAAATCACCCCCAACAAAAATCATCCCCAAGCCCCCAAAAAAAAACAAACAAATACACACACAAAAATAAACAAAAAAACACACAAAAACACAACCCCCCAACAAAACCCAAGAAAACTAAAGAAATGACCAAAAGAACAAAAGAGCAAACAAAACAAAAACCAATAACAAAAAAAACCCCAAAACAACAACAACAAAACATCCAATGAATGGTAACCGGTCCTTTGTCTTTTTAAATAATTCATGTTGTGTGAAAGATCCATAAAGGCAAATGTTTTGAAACATGAGATGAGGTGAAAGGGAGTTTAACGTCGTATTTGAGAATATTTCGCTCATTTGACGACGTGCATGAATGTGTGTGTATGTGCGGCTGCTTGTACTAGCCCAGACTTAAGCTGGTTTTATAGTGCTAGCCCACTGAGATACCACGCCCCAATTTAGCATGAATACCAAACTCAGACACATTATACTGTATCCGAGCCGACCAGTCCTTGTACCCATTAATGTCGAATGGCAGACAGGGACCAACAAGTACCACATTTTAACGTCTGACGCGGCCGGGGATCAAACCCGCGACTTTTCTCCCTCCATGCAGACGCTCTGACCACTACACCACGGAGGCGGTCAATGGGAAAGAAGGAAGACATATAAACAGTTGAACTGATTGCTAAAACATTATTCATTTCTCAAATGCTTCAGTTTGGTTTGTTTGTTTTTTTGTTTAACGCTTAATATTCAAACTATATGGTGTCGGTGTAACCCGGATGTTTACGGATCTCAAACTATATGGTGTTGGTGTAACCCGGATCTTTACGGATCTCAAACTATATGGTGTCGGTGTAACCCGGATGTTTACGGATCTCAAACTATATGGTGTCGGTGTAACTCGGATGTTTACGGATCTCAAACTATATGGTGTCGGTGTAACCCGGATGTTTACGGATCTCAAATTATTATGAATAAAGTTTCATGACACTACTGTTGGACAAGGCAGTGACAGTATATCAACATTAGTGTAAACTGAATAACAAATAAACCTGTTGGCAAGCTGTGTGAGTCGACAAGGAAGTTCAATACTTAAATACACACAGACAATCAAGTTCCTGCTGGCCGAACTGTGGTCTAGGGATACTCAGGGGAAGGACAAGCCAGGATCATATGATCCACTTGTACAACTTGGTGATCTGATGCTTCGGAGTGGCATCATGGACAAGAGGCTGGAGATTCATTTGATGTCATCCGAGGTTGGACACAGCGTGATGTGCTTTTACTCAGAGACAGCCTCAGTTCGACACACTCAGTGTTTGACCTACAATGTTGTCAGTGTATCGGAGAGTGTTGTCATTATATTGGGTGTACGCGAACACTGATTCGCGTAAAGAAGGCAACTGTTTATTCGTTGCCTGACATTGCATACCAGTACTTCTGCTCAGTGTGCGAAATAGCCACTGGCCCGCTAGCCTGTGGCTAGTAAAAACACAGTCGGGCCAGTAAATCATCCCAGTCACTGACTGTCTAATGAATTTATATAAGGCCATTTTGTAAATATATCACTCTCTTTAACTTGATAAGTTATAATACACTTTTAATTCAAGCAAGAATATGGCCTGATAAACATGTTCATTATTTAGCACCTTAATGGTGAAACCCGTGTCCACATTCAAATTTCGGGCTTATGAAATATTTTGTGGCTAGTAACTTTCAGGCATAGCTAGCCCGACTGGCTGGCAGAATTTGAAAACTATGTCGCACATTGAAAGATGCCTCCTGCTATACAACGGCCAGACAAAATGGTGATAGTAAACAGGCGACATGATAGCCCATTTAGTTGAAATAACCCGTTCATTTATGTTTCCAACGGCTTAGTACAATTGCAGAGATTCTTCCGATACATGTAATGAAAAATACTTAAGAAATGTGTCTGTTTTGCAAGCACACGGATGGAAGTTATGCCATTTCTGTATTATATTACCCATGAAAATTTTAAACGCACTATATGTTATCTCCTTCTCTATTTACATGATTACATCGAAGATGAATTTCTCCACTAACTTGGGTGAACCAACTGCAAACCTTATGCAGATGAATTGCACGCGGATCAAGCATCAAATTGCTGAAAATCATGTGCAAATATCGTGCATGTGAACAGCTGCGTTTTGTTAAGAATTCGCCAACTTTCACCGAGTTTTATCATTAATTGAACTCATGACAATATTCATTTCAGCGTTATGAACTTGTTTTACTATACGTCAGTTCATGTGTTAAACAGTACCTTTGAGCATTATTGTTTTTATGCAAAATCTAGTTTAAAACAGCTGACTGAAGTAAGTGGCTACATTTACACTTATGAGTCTAAACATTCGATGGGCAGTATATTTGACATTGATAAATGCTACGGAGCTTTACAATTGCTTTTCATTAAAACAAATATGAACATATTGTTTATCTTCACACACACACACACGCACGCACGCACACACGCACGCACACACACACACACATAGAGTAAGGATACATCCACTATGTACTACTACATAACACCATACATTCACACAGTAACTAGGATTTACTTTTAAGATGAACGCATCACCGTTTCTCCATACGCAAGTGATGATGATTTGGTAAAGTTTCAAAATATTGTCTTGTTTTAAAATAGATCAAATTACTTTCAATTACTAGTCATATGTTTATATATTTACACTTTTGCCTATGCAAGAGATAATAATGAAGGCCACTTACTACATTAGCTTTGCAGATCAGACCTGCTCAAAGCGCTACTTTCTTCATCATTATTACCCCAGTCAATGGATCAGAGTGTATTCGTTGTTCATCCTCAGCTCTCCCTGGGGACCTTGCAACTCAGGCCATCTGTAAGGCGCAAGACTGACTGACTAACCGCCGTTTTTAGCAATATTCCAGCAATATCATGGCGGGGGACACCAGAAACGGGTTTCACACATTGTACCCATGTGGGGAATCGAACTTCGGCGTGACGAGCGAACGCTTTAACCACTGAGCTACCCCACCGCCCCGTAAGGCGCAAGAACAGTCAAATAAAAGTGTCAAGCTTCTATTCCTTCACACAACCTGCATACCAAAGCTAAACATATCATAATTCAGTGTTCAGCATGTCAGTGCGGACGACACAGGGGAAAGTCACTTTTGTAATCATTCTGTTCCTGATAGGGGATATCCTTGCTTCGGGAGGACTGGGTTCGATTCCCCGAATTTGTAAACTGTACTAAGTCCATTGCAGGTGTTCCCCGACATAACATAAGGAATCTATCTGTTGACACAACCAATGCTTTAACCTTTTACGCTCTATGTAGTGTTTGGAGATTGAGTAGTATTGTATGCCAAATAGTGGCGTCCATCACAGCAGTTTTAATATCCTCTTGAATGAGCTCAGCCTGAAAACACTACAGACTTCAAATTGACTTCTTCAGTGAAAATATGTCGAGGTTTTCTATGAACAAACATTACTGTGGGATGTGAGTGCGTGAGTGAGTGAGTGCGTGAGTTAGTGAGTGAGTGAGTTAGTGAGTATGGCTTTAAGCTGCTTTTAGCAATATTCCAGCATGACGAGCAGACGCTTGGACCATTAGGCTACCCCGCCGCACCACTGAGGGATGTGACTACGTGGGGAAGAATCATGACTGACTGACTGAGTTTAGTTAAACGCCACTTTTAGCAATATTCCAGCAATATCACGGCGGGGGACACCAGAAATGGGCTTAACACATTGTACCCATGTGGGGATTCGAACCCCGGTCTTCGGCGTGACGAGCCAAAGCTTTAACCACTAGGCTACCCCACCGCCCCGGGAAGAATCATGAACTTGACTTGACCTATATCAAGAGTGAAGTTAGAAGGGACATACAATGTATAGACCTATATCAAGAGTGAAGTTAGAAGGGACATACAATGTATAGACCTATATCAAGAGTGAAGTTAGAAGGGACATACAATGTATAGACCTATATCAAGAGTGAAGTTAGAAGGGACATACAATGTATAGACCTATATCAAGAGTGAAGTTAGAAGGGACATACAATGTAAAGACACATGAACTTGACTTGACCTATATCAAGAGTGAAGTTAGAAGGGACATACAATGCATAGACCTATATCAAGAGTGAAGTTAGAAGGGACATACAATGTATAGACCTATATCAAGAGTGAAGTTAGAAGGGACATACAATGTATAGACCTATATCAAGAGTGAAGTTAGAAGGGACATACAATGTATAGACCCATATCAAGAGTGAAGTTAGAAGGGACATACAATGTATAGACCTATATCAAGAGTGAAGTTAGAAGGGACATACAATGTATAGACCTATATCAAGAGTGAAGTTAGAAGGGACATACAATGTAAAGACACATGAACTTGACTTGACCTATATCAAGAGTGAAGTTAGAAGGGACATACAATGTATAGACCTATATCAAGAGTGAAGTTAGAAGGGACATACAATGTATAGACCTATATCAAGAGTGAAGTTAGAAGGGACATACAATGTATAGACCTATATCAAGAGTGAAGTTAGAAGGGACATACAATGTATAGACCTATATCAAGAGTGAAGTTAGAAGGGGCATACAATGTATAGACCTATATCAAGAGTGAAGTTAGAAGGGACATACAATGTATAGACCTAAATCAAGAGTGAAGTTACAATGTATAGACCTATATCAAGAGTGAAGTTAGAAGGGACATACAATGTATAGACCTATATCAAGAGTGAAGTTAGAAGGACATACAATGTATAGACCTATATCAAGAGTGAAGTTAGAAGGGACATACAATGTATAGACCTATATCAAGAGTGAAGTTAGAAGGGACATACAATGTATAGACACATGAACTTGACTTGACCTATATCAAGAGTGAAGTTAGAAGGGACATACAATGTATAGACCTATATCAAGAGTGAAGTTAGAAGGGACATACAATGTATAGACCTATATCAAGAGTGAAGTTAGAAGGGACATACAATGTATAGACCCATATCAAGAGTGAAGTTAGAAGGGACATACAATGTATAGACACATGAACTTGACTTGACCTATATCAAGAGTGAAGTTAGAAGGGACATACAATGTATAAACCTATATCAAGAGTGAAGTTAGAAGGGACATACAATGTATAGACACATGAACTTGACTTGACCTATATCAAGAGTGAAGTTAGAAGGGACATACAATGTATAGACCCATATCAAGAGTGAAGTTAGAAGGGACATACAATGTATAGACCTATATCAAGAGTGAAGTTAGAAGGGACATACAATGCATAGACCTATATCAAGAGTGAAGTTAGAAGGGACATACAATGTATAGACCTATATTAAGAATGAAGTTAGAAGGGACATACAATGTATAGACCTATATCAAGAGTGAAGTTAGAAGGGACATACAATGTATAGACCTATATCAAGAGTGAAGTTAGAAGGGACATACAATGTATAGACCTATATCAAGAGTGAAGTTAGAAGGGACATACAATGTATAGACCTATATCAAGAGTGAAGTTAGAAGGGACATACAATGTATAGACCTATATCAAGAGTGAAGTTAGAAGGGACATACAATGTAAAGACACATGAACTTGACTTGACCTATATCAAGAGTGAAGTTAGAAGGACATACAATGTATAGACCTATATCAAGAGTGAAGTTAGAAGGGACATACAATGTATAGACCCATATCAAGAGTGAAGTTAGAAGGGACATACAATGTATAGACCTATATCAAGAGTGAAGTTAGAAGGGACATACAATGTATAGACCTATATCAAGAGTGAAGTTAGAAGGGACATACAATGTATAGACCTATATCAAGAGTGAAGTTAGAAGGGACATACAATGTATAGACCTATATCAAGAGTGAAGTTAGAAGGGACATACAATGTAAAGACACATGAACTTGACTTGACCTATATCAAGAGTGAAGTTAGAAGGGACATACAATGTATAGACCTATATCAAGAGTGAAGTTAGAAGGGACATACAATGTATAGACCTATATCAAGAGTGAAGTTAGAAGGGACATACAATGTATAGACCTATATCAAGAGTGAAGTTAGAAGGGACATACAATGTATAGACCTATATCAAGAGTGAAGTTAGAAGGGGCATACAATGTATAGACCTATATCAAGAGTGAAGTTAGAAGGGACATACAATGTATAGACCTAAATCAAGAGTGAAGTTACAATGTATAGACCTATATCAAGAGTGAAGTTAGAAGGGACATACAATGTATAGACCTATATCAAGAGTGAAGTTAGAAGGGACATACAATGTATAGACCTATATCAAGAGTGAAGTTAGAAGGGACATACAATGTATAGACCTATATCAAGAGTGAAGTTAGAAGGAACATACAATGTAAAGACACATGAACTTGACTTGACCTATATCAAGAGTGAAGTTAGAAGGGACATACAATGTATAGACCTATATCAAGAGTGAAGTTAGAAGGGACATACAATGTATAGACCTATATCAAGAGTGAAGTTAGAAGGGACATACAATGTATAGACCTATATCAAGAGTGAAGTTAGAAGGGACATACAATGTATAGACACATGAACTTGACTTGACCTATATCAAGAGTGAAGTTAGAAGGGACATACAATGTATAAACCTATATCAAGAGTGAAGTTAGAAGGGACATACAATGTATAGACACATGAACTTGACTTGACCTATATCAAGAGTGAAGTTAGAAGGGACATACAATGTATAGACCTATATCAAGAGTGAAGTTAGAAGGGACATACAATGTATAGACCTATATCAAGAGTGAAGTTAGAAGGGACATACAATGCATAGACCTATATCAAGAGTGAAGTTAGAAGGGACATACAATGTATAGACCTATATTAAGAATGAAGTTAGAAGGGACATACAATGTATAGACCTATATCAAGAGTGAAGTTAGAAGGGACATACAATGTATAGACCTATATCAAGATTGAAGTTAGAAGGGACATACAATGTATAGACCTATATCAAGAGTGAAGTTAGAAGGGACAAACAATGTGTAGACCTTTATCAAGAGTGAAGTTAGAAGGGACATACAATGTAAAGACACATGAACTTGACTTGACCTATATCAAGAGTGAAGTTAGAAGGGACATACAATGTATAGACCTTTATCAAGAGTGAAGTTAGAAGGGACATACAATGTATAGACCTATATCAAGAGTGAAGTTAGAAGGGACATACAATGTATAGACCTATATCAAGAGTGAAGTTAGAAGGGACATACAATGTATAGACACATGAACTTGACTTGACCTATATCAAGAGTGAAGTTAGAAGGGACATACAATGTATAAACCTATATCAAGAGTGAAGTTAGAAGGGACATACAATGTATAGACACATGAACTTGACTTGACCTATATCAAGAGTGAAGTTAGAAGGGACATACAATGTATAGACCTATTAGGTACCTTTAGGTATAGTATAATACATAGTTCACATTCTTACTCTATAACACATGTACCACACTTTCTTGCATATGAGTGTACATCTGCCTCTATATAACCGGTAAGCGCAGCATATGTAAACAAAATCAACTTTGTTTCATATTATTGGGAAAATATTACTTGTACAAATGCAAGCTCAATTCTGTTTTACGAAACATTGCTCATTTCAGAAGTGAGTTAAGATTGAGATATAGTACTGAAAAATGTATTTTATTTAACAAAAGCTGTAACACCGAAAAAAAATCAGACGTTTTCTCTGAAAAATTTCAGTGTGTATTCTTTTGCAGTCGTGGATGTCCGCTTTGGTTCAAGCTGATTTCGACCAATCAGTTCATTCCGGTGTGAACACTGAGATCTACTCAGTGTAACATATCTCTGATGGCATTTTCTGCCCTGATCAATGAAATCCATGAATGTCTATTTAATTTAGATCCCTAAGGCTTCAAACTAGTGCAGTGATGTCTGGCCTATATTATTCAGTGCTTTAACATCAGCTCCAGCCTTCAGTAACACATCAACACACTCTGTAGATCCCTGTCTTGCTGCTGTATGAAGTGGTGTGTCACCCGTATTATTCTGTACATTAACATCAGCTCCAGCCTTCAGTAACACATCAACACACCCTGTAGATCCATGGCTTGCTGCTGTATGAAGTGGTGTGTCACCTGTATTATTCTGTACATTAACATCAGCTCCAGCCTTCAGTAACTCATCAACACGCCCTGTAGATCCATGTCTTGCTGCTATATGAAGTGGCATGTCACCTGTATTATTCTGTACATTAACATCAGCTCCAGCCTTCAGTAACTCATCAACACGCCCTGTAGATCCATGTCTTGCTGCTCTATGAAGTGGTGTGTCACCTGCATTATTCTGTACATTAACATGAGCTCCAGCCTTCAGTAACACACCAACACGCCTTGTACATCCCCACACTGCTAATGCTGCTGTATGGAGTGGTTCGTCACCTGTATTATTCTGTACATTAACATCAGCTCCAGCCTTCAGTGACACATCAACACACTCTGTACATCCCGGTCTTGCTGCAATATGAAGTGGCGTGTCACCTGTATTATTCTGTACATTAACATCAGCTCCAGCCTTCAGTAACACACCAATACACCTTGTAGATCCCCACTCTGCTGCTGCTCCTGCTGCTGCTGCATGAAGTGGTGTGTCACCTGTATTATTCTGTACATTAACATCAGCTCCTGCCTTCAGTAACAAATCAATACACCTTGTAGATCCCCACTCTGCTGCTGCTGCTGCTTCTGCTGCTGCAGCATGAAGTGGTGTGTCACCTGTATTATTCTGTACATGAACATCAGCTCCAGCCTTCAGTAACTCAATAACACGTCCTGTAGATCCATGACTTGCTGCTCTATGAAGTGGTGCGTCACCTGTATTATTCTGTACATTAACATCAGCTCCAGCCTTCAGTAACACATCAATACACCTTGTAGATCCCCACTCTGCTGTTCCTGTTGCTGCTGCATGAAGTGGTGTGTCACCTGTATTATTCTGTACATTAACATCAGCTCCAGCCTTCAGTAACACATCAACGCACCTTGTAGATCCCCACTCTGCTACTGCTCCTGCTGCTGCTGCTGCAATAAGTGGTGTGTCACCTGTATTATTCTGTACATTAACATCAGCTCCAGCCTTCAGTAACATATCAACACACTCTGTACATCCCGGTCTTGCTGATATATGAAGTGGTGTGTCACCTGTATTATTCTGTACATTAACATCAGCTCCAGCCTTCAGTAACACATCAACACACCCTGTAGATCCCCAACTTGCTGCTGCTGCTGCTGCATGAAGTGGTGTGTCACCTGTATTATTCTGTACATTAACATCAGCTCCAGCCTTCAGTAACACATCAACACACTCTGTACATCCCTGTCTGGCTGATTTATGAAGTGGTGTGTCACCTGTATTATTCTGAACATTAACATCAGCTCCAGCCTTCAGTAACTCATCAACACACTCTGTACATCCCTGTCTGGCTGCTTTATGAAGTGGTGTGTCACCTGTATTATTCTGAACATTAACATCAGCTCCAGCCTTCAGTAACTCATCAACACACTCTGTACATCCCTGTCTGGCTGCTTTATGAAGTGGTGTGTCACCTGTATTATTCTGAACATTAACATCAGCTCCAGCCTTCAGTAACACATCAACACACCCTGTAGATCCCCAACTTGCTGCTGCTGCTGCTGCATGAAGTGGTGTGTCACCTGTATTATTCTGTACATTAACATCAGCTCCAGCCTTCAGTAACACATCAACACACTCTGTACATCCATGTCTTGCTGCTTTATGAAGTGGTGTGTCACCTGTATTATTCTGTACATTAACATCAGCTCCAGCCTTCAGTAACACATCAACACACTCTGTAGATCCATCCACTGCTGCTGTATGAAGTGGTGTGTCACCTGTATTATTCTGAACATTAACATCAGCTCCAGCCTTCAGTAACACATCAACACACTCTGTACATCCCTGTCTGGCTGCTTTATGAAGTGGTGTGTCACCTGTATTATTCTGTACATTAACATCAGCTCCAGCCTTCAGTAACACATCAACACACCCTGTAGATCCATGTCTTACTGCTCTATGAAGTGGTGTGTCCCCTCTTTTATTCTGTACATTAACATCAGCTCCAGCCTTCAGTAACACATCAACACACTGGGTAGATCTCCACTTTGCTGCTGTATGAAGTGGCGTGTCACCTGTATCATCCTGTACATTAACATCAGCTCCAGCCTTCAGTAACACATCAACACACCCTGTAGATCCATGACTTGCTGCTGCATGAAGTGGTGTGTCATCTGTATTATTCTGTACATTAACATCAGCTCCAGCCTTCAGTAACACATCAACACACTCTGTAGATCCCTGTCTTGCTGCTGTATGAAGTGGTGTGTCACCTGTATTATTCTGTACATTAACATCAGCTTCAGCCTTCAATAACTCATCAACACACTCTGTAGTTCCCCGCCCTGCTGCTATATGAAGTGGTGTGTCACCTGTATTATTCTGTGCTTTAACATCAGCTCCAACCTTCAGTAACACATCAACACACTCTGCAGATCCCCACCCTGCTGCTGCATGAAGTGGCATGTCACCTGTTACATTTGAAACTTGATTGACACTTGCTCCTTTCTTCAGCAAATACGAGACAACTGTTGGGTTCCCTGTACATGCACTGAGAAGTGGAGTTTCTCCACCAGGTGACATCATATCAACAGTAGCACCCTTCTCAAACAGCATCTCGACTATATTTCTGTTCCCGACCTCACAAGCTCTGCACACAGCACAGCCGTCAACCACTGCTCCTATGTTAAAAAAATAACGTACCATGTTTGTGTTCAAGCTCTCAACAGCACATCCAAGACCTCTCTGTTTATCTATATCACATCCTCTGTTAACCAACAGTTTCACAACCTCTAAGTGACCTTTCTCTATGACAGTGTACGGAATGTTTTTCCCGGAATGTTGTCCATGTTGCTGATTAACTTCCACTCCCATATCAGTCGCATGCTTCACGGCTGATGTAAGGCCATTTACACAAAGATAATAAAACACAGTTTGATCGTCACTCGTCTCTTGCATTCAGGTCGGGATCTAGAGACAAAATCTGATTGACAAACCCAACGTCCCTGGTTTCTGCTGCCAACATAAGCGGCGTCTTTTTCTCCCCACCGTATCTAGCATTTATCTCAAGTTTCATATGTCCACTGATGTATTTCAGTATATCGCATGCAGCATTCGTGGACACACCCAGGAAAATCTCTCTAACTTCACTCAGGGTGAATGAGATATTTTCTGTCTCCATGATATATTTGATGAGATGATGTGACTTGTTGCTCGAGAGTAATTCACAAAATGACTTGTTGGATGAGTTATCAGTTAGTTTCACAATATCAGATACACGCATGTGAAACCGGGTCTTCAGGCAGTCCATTAGCATGACAACAAAGTCTGAATAACGAAGTGACTGGTGTGATAAAACAAGAAACAAATTGCCCCTTTGCATTTCACTTGCGAATCTCCTTGCCAAACGTTCAGCATAAGTCCATGAGATTTCTGCAACAAGATCTGTGTCACCACCAACGTCTTTCTCATTTTTCTCTTTACTGGAGTGTGCAAGACGAAGTCGCTGATATATGAAGGACAAACTACAGTTTTCGATGACAAACGTGGGTTGTTTTGTACTGAGAATAAAGGAAACACTGTCATATATAGACGGATGATCAAACATGTAGGTGTCATGCTCCTTCTTGAGGTAGGATCCAACCAAATCATCAGCAGCTGCTCTACCTTCATAACCGAGGTTATCATCCTCCTCCAAGTCTTGTTCACTAATCTTCCCATCTTTTTTAATCATAGCCATGAACAGCGAACGCTTTATCTTATCTGTCAAATGTTTATTCATAGTTTTGTTGAGGAAATCCAGTGGCGCTTGAAAAAACATTTGCACTAGAAGGTGAGTCCAATCCTTTTCATATGCTGCGACAAACATTTTACAGACATGGGGGAAGCCATGTGGACAGTCAACGTTACATATCAGAGACAGAGTTGACTCTTCGATGTCTATGTTTTTTGCTTCAGCGTGAACACGCCATATCTTCCTTCGCTCATAAGACGCTCTCTGTGTGGAAACTTCCACCACGTATTGGGGACTGGAAATGTAATCTGCCATCCTTCCCAAGTCTGCCAGTGAGGATTTCATCACATAGTCACGGCCTACGAGGATAATGATAGTTTTGTCTTTGTTTGGACTTGTTCGTTTCACCTGTGTTTGATCAACTTTTGTCCTCTGTGAAACCTTTTCAGTTTTGGTAGAAACGTCTAAAACGTCTTTTTCAGCATACGTGTCGGGATGTTTAACATCCACAATAGGTCGGAGAGTTGGTCTCCACTTGCTCCATTCTGCAGCGTCGAATTCCAGATCACCAAATATGTCATCTAACATAATGACAGGATTAGCACAGGCCATTAGTGACCTCATTGAACTCTTCTGGTGACACCACTTGGTATACTTGTCTCCCCTGACTGTGTAGATCTTTGAGAGCCATGTAGGCTATTGTGGACTTCCCTCTCCTGGTCTTCCTTTAATTGTCACCCATGTCGCTCCTCTGTCCAGCTTCTGTTTTACTTTCTTGAGGGCGTCTGTCTCCACCATGTCGTTAGTCCATGCCTGTATCCTGGATGCCGTCCTTTCTGTGGACACAAGGCACAATTAAAGGATTTTTAAAAAGGTTAAACACTATGCATTTTTATTACATAATGCCATTCAAACATGAATATATACCACATCTGCACCATCTATTTACGAAACATAGTCGTAAAAATTATAAATATGCACCAAAACTAAAACCACTTTAGCCCCGCCCACTCATATGCATATTTTTATTTTTAGCGGTCTGCCGTCTGTGGGTGTGACGTCATACCCGAGAGTCCGCTCAGTGTGTTGACATTTCAGTAGTGTATACGCCATCGAGTTGAAAGTGACACGAAGCGCAATATTTTGAATGAAACGTTGTTGTGATTAAGTATTGGAAACTGACAACTGCACTTCGAGTTTTGATGATTATCCAACTGCGTAAACAACACGGATGTACATTTCCTGAGAAATTCTATTTGACAAGAGGAAGGGCATAGATTGTTTACTGTCGTCGTGTGGATTTTGTGAACCCCTTCACGCACGGTTATCTGTGTTCGTTACACTTTTTGAAGAAGTGCTATGAAAGAGACCTAACCTTTGGCGAAATATGGATACGAATAGGCAAAACTTAAACTTTATAAGAATGCTCTATATCGGGCAATCCTTTCGACATTCCATACAAACACAGAGGCCGAAATGTCAACTTGGGACTGAGACCGAGAGAGTTGCATTCCTGACGCGACGTTGGTTGCAGGTGAGTTTTAAGATGTATTTGTTTTGGAGTAACATAAACACTCCAGTATCTAGCTATGTACAGCAGTAGTTGATGAAAAAGTACGTCATAATTTGCGCTCATGTCCTATTTTCGATCAGAGATATATTTTCACAGCCACTGTCACTGTTACTCAGTAGGGCCAAGTCATCTATTTCCCGAGACGGGTGTGTTGCGGTGTGAGTGTGTGTGGAGGGATTGGGATGGGGGTGGGCATGGACAAATGAGAACTTGCAAAGTATGGGTGAGGTGGTGAGAGAGAGCACATAATTACTAAAACATAATTAAAGATGAGTCATATCAGATAATTATCCACCAGGGACTGGTCCTCTACCATGTTAATATGGTATTTGAATTGTGTGTGTGTGTGTGTGTGTGTGTGTGTTAGGGTATGATTAAAATGTTGACTCTCACACTTTCTCTCTTTAAGGCAATGTACAATAAATAGAACGAAAATGACTGATCTGCAATGGCATAAAACTTAGGTATTTATAGACCCCTTGTAAAAACATCATGGAAGCTGTATATATAGGTAACTTTTAACCCACTTTCAAAAATGGGAAATCAGGGAAATATGTTCATTCAGATAATGTATTTCTTTGTGGGTTTTGTTTTTGGCAAATGTAAAAATGCTACTTTAATGGGTTTTTTTAGGATGTACATGGCAGCATTTCACATCAATGAAAACAGCCTAAATACCCTAGAAGTGACCAAGACTGGAGAACCCAAGTGGGCAATCAGCTACCCCTAGGCCTAAACCAAGAGGTCAAGCCAGTGAACAAGAAACCAACAGGTGGTAAATATAATTCAGACAATCAATAATATTTTGTTGAACTGGTGCACTCCAGTTTTAAAAAAACCCCACTGTTCCTATTGCTGCATATTTTACCCTAACTGATGAGTCAACACTAAGTCTTGTTTGCAAAGACACTGGCTTTTAATTCTCATATCTATTTTCCCTCTCAGCATTTAAGACAAAAGTACTTACTTTTTTAGTGCAGATTTCAAAGAAAACTATTATTATGGTTGCCAAAACAAAATATACTGAAATTGTGTTACAAAATGTCTCTAATTCAATGTAAAATTTATTCACAGAGTATGTGGAATTCCTACTTAGGAACATGTTTCCTTCCTACAGATTTGCAGGATACAACAGGCCTATTCCTCCAGAATATTCCGCCAGACACTTTCATTTATAACTAGTAAACAGGACCTGGTGAATTCACTGACATCAAGATATATAATGAAATCATGTATATGTGTCTAGGGTGTGAACTGAAACCAGTTGTGCCTGATGTCTTAAGGTCTATTGTATTCGTCTGTTTGAATCCTGAGACTTGTTCAGAAGGTAAATGTTTCCAAATTGCAGTCACCACTGTGTCACATGGTGTTATTGGAGAGCAATCTTGTTTTCTTAGGCTTTTACCAGTCCATCCAGTTAATTTACACGCAAGCCTTTGCCTTCATGGTGTAGGTGTACACACAGTATTCATTATTTTGTCGTAAACAGTTTGTATGCAAATAAATTATTTGCTTTAATTTTTGTGTGCTGGTTTCTTGATTTGATCGCTGGACTTTCTTTGGGACTGATCACAATTTACACATTACTACTAGAACACAATGAAGACTTTTCTTTTCACTAGCTGACAGTTAAAGAGAAAGATAAGGATTTGTCAGTTCTATTTTTTTGTATGTATATTTCTTTATTATATCTATTATCAGCTGTTAAGGAGGTTACAGGTCTTTATCATTTTACATTTTATGTATGTTTTGCAGATTTATATGACTAAGTATCACGACATATAACCAATGCTTTACACGTGTATGGAAATTGAAAATGTAATAAAACTGATGTTTGATGCACCATATCAGAGATGATACACCGACTTCTCCGAAAACAATTCTCTACAATACAGTAGTGAGATCGAACTTATCGACTTCCGTAACGGTACGTATTTCATAGGAAAGATTATCACCATACTAAAACCTTTACAGATAAATTTAATCAGAAGACGCATTTTATGAAATAAAGCTGAAAGTTACTTAATTACCTTCATAAAATCATGAACCTCGAACGTAACTATTTCAGTGTTTACCTTCCCATACCGATGTATACCGGAAGACAGGCTCAACACATTGATCAAACATTGCCGTTATCATGACTGCAAATTTTACCGTGACCGCGGAAAAATGAATTCAGTATCTAATCAGATTTCCATGAATATGTGATAGGCAATTGACTTGCATACCAGTCTTCAGTAGGTCGATTCAAAACATAGTCATGGTCGGAATCGTCCAAACGGCTGTATGTTGTCAACTGGTGCAATCGTCGTCAATAGTCCTGTCGGTCTTGCCGCTAGAAATACTTAAAAACTGAAAAGGTATGTGATATTATCTGTATCCAGTATGCCATCCAAATCCAGATTTGAATTCGTGGATTGATTTATTTGCTAAACTTGAAGCAGACCTCAATGAGCGAACAGGCCCGGTACCACTGTATTTTCCGTGTGTTGATGTAGCGACTCTCCGGTATGACGTCATGAAACCACGTGACCATCTACGACATTATTTTGCGTAATCGTGAAATGCTTTCGAGGGAGGTGCGTTTTAAATTCCTAATACAAGCTGTATAATGAAATATTAGTGTTTATAACTGTATTTTGTGATTATTATGTATACCCAGGGGTTCATTAAGAGCGAAAATAAACAATGTGAAGTGACCTTTATAAATATCATTTAACACTTTTATGAACGAAATGTGTTCAACAGTTAACAAACTTGATACTTAAAGATCTTACTCAAGAAAAAGGGATTCGAACCTGTGTTAGTACAAGCAAACGCTCTAACCACTAGGCTACCCCACTGCCCCATGTAAAAGTTACTCAAATTTTGTTAAGGCTTTAAAGAGGGTATTACGTATTGTGTAAAGAATAAACACAAGTCCGATGCAATTTGATGCCAGTAACAGGACGTGGCCAATGATCAGTGGAATCGCCCATCAAAACGAGAATATCTCATTAAAACTGAAGCATGACAAAGTCACATCTGGGTAAAGTGACAGATGGCGAGATATAGGTAGAGCAGCGAATCAACGAAACAGTATTTGGTAATTGTGGCAATATTTACAGCAAAGCAATCAAGTTAGAGACTGTTCAGACAGTAGCAACCCCATGTCAAGACCGATGAAGTTGAAAGTGCATGTCCGACATTGGGCCAGGCCAGCAACCTTTTTTAGTTTGTACCGATACCGGCAATACATGAGCGTCTGTGATAACAGTTTGACGACACCCACTCGCTCCGTGCAAGGTGAGCAGCCTGATGACCAGTTACACATGTTGACGCCAGACCTTATCATGTTGCTCGAGGTGTCCAGCAGCATCCTAATCAGAGCAATGTTAAGGTGTTATCCTGGCCAGCAAGATCCACGAATTTGTTCCCCATTGAACACGCCTCGGATGATATGGAGCGACGTTCACGACGTCACGAATCCCAAGGAAAAATCTTCAAATCCTCACTCGAAATGACTCTCATGGAGGTATAGTGGCCTCAATTTATGCGATGGCCCGAGGCCAGCATCAATGCACAAGGTGGACACACTCGCTACAGGCATTGTAAACAAGCTTCTGTAGCCCCTCTTGTGCTGTGGCAAATTTGCATATGCAAGGTGCGCTGTTCTGATTGACTTTTGATCATTACCAATCCTTTGGACATTTGTCGAGACCACAAAATTTGTTCTATACAATTCCACAGACAGGCTATCGTTTGATCAGGTTGATGTTTTCTGAATAATGTTGAGGAGTAAAACCTTTTCTGCCTGTTTTCATTTTAGTCAGGTTTACTTTCTATTTTAGTAACTGACTATATTTTAAACAACCTACTTTTTTTACACTGCGAAATGTTAATCCAGTTTGCATAATTTAATTCCTAAGGGCTAACTGAAATACCTCTTTTACGGCAGAGTTTCTTTTGAAACTGATCAGGTGAATATATGAGATGCATATAAGATGAAAAAGCATGCTTAGGCGTATCACAATTATGAATGCGTGAATGCGCTCATCAGTGCGTGCGTGACTGAGCAAAACAACTTTATGACTGATATCATAAGTATTCATCTAAACTACTGGGACGCCATGACATTCATCAACCATGTTGGCGGACCTCATCATCTAAATAGTCACCATTTCACACACAGCATGGGATGCTGAAGACAGTTCTAACCCAGACCTTCACGGGGGAGAACCGCGTGGGATGCTGAAGACAGTTCTAACCCAGACCTTCACGGGGAGACTAGCATGGAATGCTGAAGACCAGTTCTATCCCAGACCTTCACAGGGGAGGCCAGCATGGAATGCTGAAAACAGTTCTAAACCAGACCTTCACGGGGGAGACCAGCATGGGATGCTGAAGACAGTTCTAACCCAGACCTTCACGGGGGAGACCAGCATGGGATGCTGAAGACAGTTCTATCCCAGACCTTCACAGGGGAGGCCAGCATGGAATGCTGAAAACAGTTCTAACCCAGACCTTCACGGGGGAGACCAGCATGGGATGCTGAAGACAGTTATAACCCAGACCTTCACGGGGGAGACCAGCATGGGATGCTGAAGACAGTTCTAACCCAGACCTTCACGGGGGAGACCAGCATGGGATGCTGAAGACAGTTCTAACCCAGACCTTCACGGGGAGACAAGCATGGAATGCTGAAGACAGTTCTAACCCAGACCTTCGCGGGGGAGACCAGCATGGGATGCTGAAGACAGTTCTGTCCCAGACCTTCACAGGGGAGACCAGTATGGAATGCTGAAGACAGTTCTATCCCAGACCTTCAAGGGGGAGACCAGCATGGGATGCTGAAGACAGTTCTAACACAGACCTTCACGGGGCAGACCAGCATGGGATGCTGAAGACAGTTCTGTCCCAGACCTTCACGGGGGAGACCAGTATTGAATGCTGAAGACAGTTCTAACCCAGATCTTAACGCGGGAGACCAGCATGGAATGCTGAAGACAGTTCTAACCCAAACCTTCACGGGGGAGACCAGCATGGGATGCTGAAGACAGTTCTAACCCAGATCTTAACGCGGGAGACCAGCATTGAATGCTGAAGACTGTTCTAACCCAGACCTTCACAGGGGAGGCCAGCATGGAATGCTGAAGACAGTTCTAACCCAGACCTTCACGGGGGAGACCAGAGTGGGATGCTGAAGACAGTTCTAACCCAGACCTTCACGGGGGAGACCAGCGTGGGATGCTGAAGACAGTTCTAACCCAGACCTTCACGGGGGAGACCAGCATGGGATGCTGAAGGCAGTTCTAACCCAGGCCTTCATGGGGAGACCAGCATGGGATGCTGAAGACAGTTCTAACCCAGACCTTCGCGGGGGAGACCAGCATGCGATGCTGAAGACAGTTCTATCCCAGATCTTCACGGGGGAGACCAACATGGAATGCTTAAGACCTGTTCTAACCAAGACCTTCCCGGTTAAGTCTGTTGAATGGAATGTAGCATATCCAGTAAAGTGCTTCCTTTACAGGCGAGTACTTAGTTTATATCAGTCAGGTTTAATTGTACATTGCCACCATGTGGACAGTCATTGTGGAAACAATTTTATCAAATAACTCACTCCTGATCTTCTGTGCTGCAGTCAGTGGTATCTCCTCTTCCTCTTTGTTGGTCGGAGTTGTACCAACATTCTGAGTCCCGCCAATGTTCAGATTCTTGCCTCCCTTCACTGTCACATCTCCAAACTGCTGCTGTACTTGTATAAGGTTGTACTGTGTGACTGTAACAGAAACCACATGACTGAAGCTTGCATAGATGTGTTACATATTTGAACTTAGATTCAACTAGTAATTCTGGAAAGAATTGATAACATCAGCAGACAAACACACTCTGTATGACATTTTCTAATAACAATATATGGATGAAGAACTTCTTCATTTCTGCGAGAGTGACATTTCGAAGCACCTTGTTTCACAACAATAAAGAAGTCGTTCATCCATACATTGTTATCCTTCCTTACTGCCCCAACTTCTGAATGCCTCCCAAAGAAATTAAGTATAAGTGGCATTGGTAAACTGAAAAAATGAGGTTGAGAAAGATTTATGCTGAGGTCAAACACATTTCTATGGTCACATCTCCAAAATATTGCTCCACCTGAGCAAAGCTGCATAGTGTTGCTGTAACAGAAGCCATATGACTGAAGATTTCACAGACGTGTTATATATTTGAACTTCGATAGCACTAGTGACTCTGAAAACAGGTGATGACATCAGCCTATTTTTCTGAAAGGTGACTTCCAATTTTCGTTTGTTCATAAATTGCTTCGATTTAACCTGAACAGAGCTTGACAAAGACTTGCGCTGAGGTCAAACAAGCTTCCACGGGGTGTGTAAATGTTTACAGACACTCTGCTAAACACTACCGACGTTTACACCACAACTGTAATGGACAAAACATTTGGTCTTGGTAAATATAAATGATCTGATCCTATTTACTGAGAAGTAGGGCTGTAAGCGTTGGTGAGATATACTGATAGCTCCTCTTAAAGAGATCAACAGCATTGGGTAAAACCACCCACCTGCAGGAGAGTCCCCAGTCACTGGCACTTCAGCCTGCCCGGAAGACTGTATCTGTGACACAAGAGCTCCTGGTATTGAGGGCAGAAGAGACAATGTTGACGCTGGTGTCAGGGCTGCTGTTCCCGGGACATGAAGACTTGTTGTTCCAGGAACTACACTAGTTGTACTTGTGGATGCTGGTGTCAGGGCTGATGTTCCCGGGGCCTGTAGACTTGTTGTTCCAAGACCTACACTAGTTGTACTTGTGGATGCTGGTGTCAGGGCGGCTGTTCCCGGGACCTGTAAACTTGTTGTTCCAAGACCTACACTAGTTGTACTTGTGGATGCAGGTGTCAGGGCTGATGTTCCCGGGACCTGTAGACTTGTTGTTCCAAGACCTACACTAGTTGTACTTGTGGATGCAGGTGTCAGGGCTGATGTTCCCGGGACCTGTAGACTTGTTGTTCCAAGACCTACACTAGTTGTACTTGTGGATGCTGGTGTCAGGGCTGCTGTTCCCGGGACCTGTAGACTTGTTGTTCCAAGACCTACACTAGTTGTACCTGTGGATGCTGGTGTCAGGGCTGCTGTTCCCGGGGCCTGTAGACGTGTTGTTCCAGGAACTACACAAGTTGTACTTGTGGACATGTGCGCCTGATCTGTTCTGTCATCCCCATCTCCACCTGAAGCTGGTTGCAGCTGCTGTTGTTGATGTGGTGCTGATGCTATTTCTCCCTGTGGTGGCTGACAACATCCCACAATGTGTTGTACTAGTGACTTGGTATCTACGAAGGAAACAATCAGGTCAGAGACCAATAACATAACACGAACAATGTCATATGAATACTAACATAGTTACAATGACATAATACACACACAGTATATACTCTCAACTTGAAACTGGACATGCTGTTGTTGTAGTTTAATTACTGAGTGCGTATAACTGATTCTGACAAGACATCATTGCATCCATAGAAAAAAATTGAGATGCCAAAAATGCTGTCTTCAGGAATGTTTTGATACTCTTACTGAAGTGATAGTTTGTCTATAAACACAGCAGAGGAATCAGGACTGCAACTTTCAGTCAGACAGTCTGGTTTCACCACCACTCACCACAGTAGAGTCTGTCCATGACTATCTAGTTACCACAGGACTTTCAAAACCCAAGTGGTAAGCAAAATAGAGCCATAGGACTCTATAGCTCGCATGAATTGCAATGAATATCATAATGACATGCACGGTCGGTTTATTACACGCTAGTGCAGAGAGTTCCACAGTAAAATTTGAGCATAATATCTTTCCCAAAATTACTATTAGATAGCAAGACACCTAAAATACCTTAGGACAAAGTGACCATGGCTTACAGAGGGTATAGGAACAATGGTTCGCAATACACAGCAGTGAATTTTGACACAAAATACCACTAACACAATACAAGTATCTTTATCATATGCATATTCATGGATGTTTATACAACCCAACAGTTAACAGGTCTAAAAACTCAAATGTTGAACCTCTCTCGGCAAATGGTAGTTGAAAATGTTACCTCTCACAAAGTTGTTACAATGGTATAGAAAAATATACAAGGCACATAAAGAAACTGTGCATACAAAAATTTAAAATCTAAATTTATCAAACCTGTGTAGACACATAATTATTTAAACTCAGAGATTAGTAACATGTATCCAACATGCATGCACGTGCCACGTTCCGTGACGTCAGTCGGTTCGTCCTTGACACGTGCAATACGTTGTTGCACGTGCATTCCGGGAAAGAGAAACAGAGCAAATGAATGCCACACAGTACTGTCACTTTGGAAAGCTCAACCCCTGCCCTTGCGATCATTCAAAACATTAAACAGCTATTGAATCGCAATGCATACTAAGGCTCACGTATGCACAACGTCGTGAGGCCATTGGGAGGGTCCGTGGGGGAATGTCTCAACGACAAGTGGCTGCACATTTCCACTGCCACTGGAACACCATTTCTGCACTGGTGAGACGATACCAGAACACAAATGACGTCATCGATGGGCCACGTTCTGGACGTCCACATGTAACAACGCCAAGAGAGGACAGATGGATAAGGGTGACCCATCTTCGCCACAGGTTTCAGACTGCAGTGATGACTGCCCGAACCATCCAAGGACGTCGCCGTTTGATAGGCTCTATGCGCCGTCGATGCACTGCTGGTCTCATTGCCGATGTTGGACATACCTGTTATTGAGCTTGTGACATGGTCGTTTGACCCCTGTCCCGACTTGTTATGGTCTCATGGTCCTTCCATTAAGTTGATATGTACCTTTGACATTGTTATCATACGTATCAACTGGGATAATATTTTGACAATGCACAGTTTCTTTATGTGGCCAGTAAGGCTGTAACGATTCAACGAAGGCTGTCCTTTTTCAAAATGAGATATGCAAGAATGCAATATGTACTAGCCTTGTAGTAGCCCAAGTCATGTTAATTTGCCAAGGCTGCACATGTTACTGTCAACTATAACTAGTACATACAAAATTTGAGTGTCATGAGATGACTTGTTACTGATGAGACAAATTAGCACTGTCAGCATGGGCATTCAATATTGTACATCCATCACTTAACTACAATATTGTATTCATGAATAATTATTTGTATTCGTTACCTAATATTCGTGATATGTATCATATTCGCAAAATAGTGTATTCGTTACACTGGCTAGTATATATACAATACCGTTGGGATAACTGTCAGTAGGCGTATAAAGTGTGTAAAGCAACATTGTTGCACAACACTCACCTCAGGTTCAACGGGATTCATCGCCAACGTAGTACAATGTTGTAAGTATTTGATGGCTATGATGGGGTGGTAAATGCTATCAGCCATACATGTACATCACTATAACTTTCATTTAGGTGTGACTAGTGATGTGTCAAGAATGCATCACGTGCTATCACTAGGACATACATACCTTTACCTACAAGCTGATATGACTGTTGATGAACAGTCTGGAATTTGACTGCTACAGCACCTGCTCCAAGTTGTAATATGTCCTGTATCCCATCCCCTTCTTCCTCGTCTGTGCCATCACTAAGTCCATCACTCTCTTCATCAACATCCCTGTTTTCTGCATCCTCTGTGCCTGCTCCTTCAGTTGTTCCTTGAGGGTTGTCCGTGGCAACACCTGCAGGTTCCACGTGTTCCCCATCTCGTGACGTGTCCTCATCGTTGTGCTTCCTCCTGCACTCTGCTGGTGTACATTCCCCACTCTCTGTGTCACTGTCATCTGTTGGTCTTTGACCTTCTTCAATTCTGCTTCTATTCAGTTCCCAAGTTTATTGTTCAAATTTAAAACTTTACACATCCTTCCCTTTGCACTTGTTACCAGTTTCATAACTGTGAACTCATCGTCAACATCATCATCATCATGACCCTTCAACAGAAATGCCTATACGTGTACAATGTCCTTCAATCTCCCTCCACACTTTCAATAGTTCATCCCTTCCTCTTTCTCTCAATCTCATTCTCTCCCCCATTCCCTCATCGTACTCTACTTTCTCACCGTCCCTCATTCCCTCCCTACTCTCAGTCTTCCCTCTCTCAACTTCCTCAGTTCCACCTCGCTTCCCTTGCCTCCCTAGTTTTTATCAAAAATTAGACCTCCCATTGTATTTCTCACGCTTGCTCTCTCTCTCTCTCTCTCTCTCTCTCTCTCTCTCTCTCTCTCTCTCTCTCTCTCTCTCTCTCTCTCTCTCTCTCTCTCTCTCTCTCTCTCTCTCTCTCTCTCTCTCTCTCTCTCTCTCTCCCTCCTGTCTCTCCTTCCTCCCGTTGTATTTCTCATGCTTGCTCTCTCTCTCTCATCTCTCTCTTTCCCTCCTGTCTCTCCTCCCTCTCACGCCTTGCTCTCCCCTCTGTTTCCTATCCTCTGTCTCTCACCCGCTCATTGCCTCCCTCTCTCTCACTCAATCTTTGGGATTAAGGGTTTGAACTACACCCCCTCACTCTCACCCACCCACTGGGATACTGAATACGAAATCTCTGAGTAGATGATAGGATCTGTAGGGACTTACCTAATACAAGAAGGATAACACACACACACACACATGCATACACACACACACACACACACACACACACATGCATACAGAGACACACAGAGAGAGACACAGACACAGACAGACACACAGACAGACACAGAGACACACACATACAAACATACAGAGACACATACACACACATATACACACATACACATACGGAGACACGCATACAGACACAGACACACACAGACACAAACAGAGACACACACATGCATACAGAGACACGTACACACACATGCATACATAGACAGGTACACACACATACAGAGACACATACACACACAGACACACACACATACAATGTATCATTATCATATATATGCCAAACTACTCAGAAAGTGACCAGTTGTTATTTCACTTGCCTATTTCTGTTTAATCAAAAGAATATGAATTAATCTGAACGCAATAAAGATAGAACGACACTGCTATAGTGAGCAGTGGTGAACATTTCTATACTTTGAAATATGTAAACAAATACACATAGTATATATGGATATATACACACACAGGTACACCCATTTTCATGTATCAAATTCTTCAGGGTATACTGTCAACAGACTGACTGACTGACTGACTGAGTTTGGTTTTACACCGCTTTTAACAATATTCCAGGAAAATCAAAGCGGGGGACACCAGAAATGGGCTTCACAAGACTGTATACTAATCAAACCAAATCCCTCCAAATACAATCAAAGAGTACATGACAAAATAGAGCCAGCTGATGTTCAGAATGTTCAGAAAACATTTCTTGATTGACTGGTCACTTTTATACATGGCAATTCTCTGTATGCTGACGCCGGAGGGTCTGTCACGAGCTACAACAGTCTAGTCGTGTTTAAACATGTCGGTTAATCTCATGGACGTAGATAGCAGACCGACCAGGACCAGTTCACTTTGATATGAGGTTGTGATATACATGGGGTGTTAGCACAGAACTAGACCGGTCCGATCTCATGGACGTAGATAACAGACAGACCACGACCAGTTCCCTTTGATATGAGGATATGATATACATGGGGTGTTAGCACAGAACTTGTTTCTAACACCACCACAAAGAGTGAGCAGGATTACAAATACATGTAAAACTGTTTTAAGTATTGTACATTCCGTTATATTTAACAATTCAAAACTATCATTTATTTCGTCTGCTGGTGTTTACCTTTCTGTGACACACCTACTTCTGGCTGTTCTACCAGACATTTTTTGTTATCACAGTCACCTGCACTGTATGTAAATCACACCAACACTGGTCTAGTCGTTCTCGAGTTAAACAAGACATTTCATGAGATATAAAGTGAAGATTACACAGATGTCTAAATCCGTTAGTCGCTTAGTGTTTGCTCCTATCTTTAGGAAATACGTTGCCAAGCCACAGTCACGACCATCTTCAATGCACACGAAGGTAACCTCTCACTACCAATACAATGTCCCCTCCATACACCGGTAACTTCTCACTACCAGTACACTGCCCCCTCCATACACCAGTAACCTGTCACTACCAGCACACTGTCCCCTCCATACACCGGTAACCTGTCAGTACCAGTACACTACCCCCTCCATACACCGGTATTCTGTCACTACCATGACACTGTCTCCTCCATACACCGGTAACCTGTCAGTACCAATACACTGTCTCCTCAATACATCGGTAACTTGTCGCTACCAGTACACTGTTCCTCTCCATACACCAGTAACCGCTCACTACCAGTACACTGTCCCCTCCATACACAGGTAATCTGTCACTACCGGTAAACTGTCCCCTCCATACACCAGTAACCTGTCGCAACCAGGACACTGTCCCCTCCATACACCGGTAATCTGTCACTACCAGTACACTGTATCGTCCATACAACTGTAACCTCTCACTATGCTAGGACACTGTCCCCTCCATTCACCATTAACCTGTCATTACTAGTACACTGTCCCCTTCATACACCGGTTACCTCTAACTACCAGTACACTGTCCCCTCCATACACCAGTAATCTGTCACTACCAGTACACTGTCCCCTCCATACACCAGTAACCTCTCACTACCAGTACAATGTCCCTTCCATACACCGGAAACCTCTCACTACTTGACAACTGTCCACTCCATACACCATTTACCTCTCACTACTATGACACTGTCCCCTCCATACACCGGTAAACCAAAACTACTGGTACACTGTCCCCTCTATACACCAGTAACCTGTCACTACCAGTACACTGTCCACTCCATACACCAGTAATCTCTCACTACCTGTACTCTGTCCCTTTCATACACTGGAAACCTCTCTCTACTTCACAACTGTCCACTCCATACATCATTAACCTCTCAATACCAGAACACTGTCCCCTCAATACACCGGTAAACCAAAACTACTGGTACACTGTCCCCTCCATACACCAGTAACCTGTCACTATAAGTACAATGTCCGATCCATACACCGGTAACCAGTCACGACCTGTACCCTGTACCCCTCCATATACCAGTAACCTGTCATTACGAGGACACTGTCCGATCCATAGACAAGTAACCTTTCACTACCAGTACACTGTCCCCTCCATACACCAGTAACCTGTCACTAACAGTACACTCTACCCTCCATACACCAGTAACCTGTCACTACCAGTTCACTGTCCCTTCCATACACCAGTAACCTGTCACGACCTGTACCCTGTCCCCTCCATACACCAGTAACTTGTCACTATGACGACACTGTCTGATCCATAGACAAGTAACCTCTCACTACTAGAACACTGTTCCCTCAATACACCGGTAATCCAAAATTACTGGTACACTGTACCCTCCATACACCAGTAACCTGTCACTACCAGTTCACTGTCCCTTCCATACACCGGTAACCTGTCACGACCTGTACCCTGTCCCCTCCATACACCAGTAACCTGTCACTACGAGGACACTGTCTGATACATAGACAAGTAACCTTTCACTACCAGTACACTGTCCCCTCCATACACCAGTCACCTTTCACTAACAGTACACTGTACCCTCCATACACCAGTAATCTGTCACTACCAGTTCACTGTCCCTTCCATACACCAGTAACTTGTCCCTTCCATACACTGGGAACCTATCACTACTTGACAACTGTCCACTCCATACACCATTAACGTCTCACTACTAGGACACTGTCCCCTCCTTACACCGGTAACTTCTATCTATAGGAAACTGTCCAGTACATACACCAGTAAAATGTCGCTACCAGTACACTGTCCCTCCATACACCAGTAATCTGTCACTACCAGTACACTGTCCTTTCCATACACCAGTAATCTGTCAATACCAGTACACTGTCCCCTCTATACACCAGTAATCTCTCACTACCAGTACACTGTCCCCTACATACACCGGTAACCTCTCACTACTAGAAAACTGTCCACTACATACACCAGTAACCTGTTGCTACCAGTACACTGTTCCCTCGATACACCAGTAACTTGTCACTACCAGTACACAGTCCCCTCCATAGACCAGTAACCTCTCACTATCAGTACACTGTCCCCTCCATACACCAGTATCCTGTCACTACCAGTGCACTGTCCACTCCATACACCGTTTACCTCTCATTATTAGCAAACGGTCAACTCCAGACAACAGTAACCTGTCACTACCAGTACACTGTTACCTCCATACACCAGCAACCTGTCACTACCAGTACACTGTCCCATCCATTGAAATGTAACCTGTCGCTTCCAGTACACTGTTCCCTTCATATACCAGCAACCTTTCACTACCGGTACACTGTCCCCTCCATACACCGGTAACCTCTCACTACTAGGAAACTGTCCACTCCATACACCAGTAACCTGACACTACCAGTACACTGTCCCCTCCATACACCAGTAATCTGTCACTACCAGTACACTGTCCTCTCCATTCACAAGCAACCTGTCACTTCCATAACACTGTTCAAACCATACACCAGTAATGTCTCACAACTAGGACACTATACCCTCCATACACCGGTAACCTGTCACTGTCAGTATACAGCGGTAATATATAACTACCAGTACACTGTCCCCTCCATACACCCTTACCCTCTCACTATTAGCAAACAGTCCACTCCATATACCAGTAACCTCTCGCTACCAGTACACTGTCCCATCCATTGAAAAGTAATCTGTCGCTACCAGCACTTTTAGGAAACTGTCCACTCCATACACCAGTAACCTGTCTCTACTAACACACTGTTCGTTCCATACACCGGTAACCTGT